GAGAGCTAGGTCCATCTTTTAAAAGAAAAAGTGTCCAAGACTGCAACATATTTTAAAACCTCTAAGGTGTTCAAGAAACTGCTAGCTATTTTAAACATATATTAAGGGAGAGAGAGAGGGAGGGAGGAAGGGAGGGAAGGAAGAAGGGGAGGGACACACACATCATCGCACACTTTCTAAATGACAATATACTTCACAGATTAATAACGTTAAGACTTCAAAACTTAGAAACAACACAGGAAAACTGAATGGCTTGGAAAATTTTCCCTTGATCCAAGCAGTTCAAAAATTCAGTTTTTTGTTTTCAAAACGTCCTCATACACAGCAGGGACAGGAAGAGAAAGAGAGAAATTCCCAAAGCCATTTGCAAACTAAAGGGCTTACATGGAGATAATTTGTTTTTTTCAGTAAAATTTCTGTTATTATTATACCGTTTATTAATTAATACCAATAAAGCCTATGTGTAAAAATAATAAATATATTTTAAGACTACGATCCTTCACCATTCTCAAACATCTTGCAACCATCTTGCATTTGGGGAGGGGGGTTGGTAATTTCAAATCAGAAATATATGAGTGCTTCTCAAATCTTTAAAGAGCATCAGATGGGTTTTGTGTCACTTGAGCACTGTGAGAAAACAAGAAAATTATGAAAACACATTGGGAAACAGATATCAGGGTTCAGCCTCTTGTGGCTTCTCTGGACAAGGCCAAAAGCCCTTGGAGTGGAATAGCTTGGATTCCACTGAGCATGTATCATGGAAAGATCTGCAACTGTTTTACTCATCTAGCTATTTTTTAAGAATTAAATGTCATAGTGCTGCCCACACAAGCTGACCAAAAACCCAGGGGTGCTATACTTGTCAGTAACTGCAGAAACCCCACCAGGCCCAGCAGTCTGTAAGATCTGAGTTTATTCCACATTTCCAAGCCATGGGCACGATAACTACTATTGTGGTCCCTATCCAGGAACCACCAAAGTCATTCTATGGATTACACTGCTGGGAGGTTACAGGTGATCGATTCACTTATGAATATTCATGATTAGTGAATATTTAACAGCCACTCATGGAGAGCTTCTCAGAGACCTATTTGGCCAACATGTAGCAATTCATTCCACACTTGCTGAGACCCTGCTGAGTGTCAGGTAGAAGACACGTATAGAGCCCTAAACAGCAAAACCGGAGTCAGCTAGGCTCTCGTTCCATTACTTGCTCCGTGTGGCATCTTGGACAAGACAGTTTGGCTCTTGAAGCTTCAGCTCCATCATCTATAAAATAAGAATAATCGTAGACCTACCTCATAGGCTTGTTTGGCTTAGCTCAGTGCAGTATAAACACCCAAGGAGTGTCTGTCCTCCAAGGTAATCCCCTTAGCACCCTCCTCAAACTACATCAGATCTCTCTAGTTATCTCCCTCTTTGTACTCTGTAAGCTTTCCTTTATAGCACTTTCCAGTTTCTAATTATAAATACTTCCTGGTTTGATTATCTGATTAACATCTCTCTCTCCCACTGGATTCTAAAACCCATGAAGGCAGACATTCTGTCTGATTTGTCCAATACACCCAACAACCAGAATAGTAGCATGTAATTGGTGCTCAGTAAATATCTGTTGAACAAACTAATAAACTATGTTGACAAATGCACAAAATACAAAGATGAAAGACACAATACCGGCCCTCATCAAGGAGGTCACAGGTCAGTGCAGCAGTTCTCAAATCTAGCTGCATGTAGAATCATCTGGGAAGTAATTTTGTTTTAATCCCAATACCTGGGCCCTACTCTGAAACAACTGTTGGCTTGTAGACTGGAGGGATTCCTGTTTTTGTGTTTTAAGAGTTCTTCAGGTGATTCTTTTTTTTTTTCTTTTGTGAGGAAGATCAGCCCTGAGCTAACATCTGCCAATCCTCCTCTTTTTGCTGAGGAAGACTGGCCCTGGGCTAACATCCATGCCCATCTTCCTCCTCTCTATATGGGCCGCCGCCACAGCATGGCTTGCCAAGCAGTGCGTCGGTGCGTGCCTGGGATCCGAACCAGCGAACCCCAGGCCGCCACAGCAGAGTGCACGCACTTAACCGCTTGCGCCACCGGACCGGCCCCTCTTCAGGTGACTCTAACGAACAACCAGGGTTAAGACTCACAGGTCTAATGCAAGAGAGACCAGTCAACAATTATAATACAACGGAACTTATGTTCTCCTACAGCAGCAAAAGAACTTCCTGCAATGATGGCAATGTCCTGTGTCTGCACTGTATGATATTATAGTCGCTAGTCACATGTGGCTATTGAACACTCAAAATGTGAGTTCTATTGAGACTGAGGACCTGAATTTTAAATTTTATTTGATTTTAATTAATTTAAATTTAAAAGCCATATATAACTAGTAGCAAGAAGCTAGAAGCTAGTGCAGACCTAGGGTGAAGTACACAAGACTCTGAATCCAGGTGGAGGGATTCAGAGCTCAGTTAGCTGTAGACTCCAACTGCAAGGAAAGACCAGTCTAATGGAAGAAATGGCAACCAAACTTTGCAGACCCCTTGAACTCTCCACGTTACACACATGCAGGGGCAACCTCTCCCTCCTGCTATATCCAGGACAGCTGGACCCAAGGAAACCCTTTAAAGAACAAGATGAAGCACATCGCCACCAAGTAAAGAGACTTCGTGTGGGCTGCAGAATGATGGGATCATTGTGGCAAAGGGGGGAAATGTGTCTTGAGCAAGGACACTTGGGGAAAAAAAGAGTCACATGGAGCCCCCAGCAGAATAAACATGGCAGCACCTCACATCAAGATAAACCATAACATTAGGGAGAACTGACACTTATTCCTGGGGCAGATAATGGCTCAATAAGCTATAAAATCAAACTGGTCCAACGTTATTTGTAGAATGACTGAACTAATATAGAGAAGACACCTATGCCTGAATTAATATAGAGAAGACACCTATGCAATTGATCTAGTTGCCATGTTTTCCCACTTACCATGGTTAAGCACCTACTATGTGGCAGGGAGTATATTAGGGGCCATAAATATTCCCTCATTTTGTCCATACAATACTCTCCAAATTAGATATTATTTTCTCATTTTATGGTGAGGCAATTCAAGACTCACAGAAGTTAAATAATTTACTTGACTTTAACAAGTAATGACAAAGCTAGGATTCAAACTCAGATCTACATGATCTGAGTTTCTTTTTTAGAAAGGCTGTATAGTATTCTATTATATAGATATATTATTGTTTATTTAACAAATACCCACTTATTTTCTGTTTTTCCAAATCACAACCAATGCTTCAATGAATCTACCTGTATATAAATTTTAAATATATCTTTATTGGTGCATAATACATATACATACATAAAAAGTGCATAAATCCTAAGTGTAGCATTTGATGAATTATCAAAAAGCAGACTTAACCATGTAATCACCCCCAAAATCAAGAAACAGGGCAATACCAGCACCTCAGAGGCCCCCCTTGCACCACCTCCTAGTTATTTACCCCACTCCACTACCCAAAGAGCTCACATCCATAAAGGGCCATCATGGTAATTCATTAAAATGAAGCTAAGACAGAGTTATAAATTAGGTATATAATATAAGCCAAGACTTAAAACAACATTCGGTCACTACATAACTAGACAACGATCATTTATCTACCTTAATTAGAAGTTACTGTTTTATTGGATACAGAGAAATTCGAGTGAGGTATCAAGGAACCAGGGTACAAAATGTGTTAACAATTAAGATTAGAGTGTTTTAGGCCTCCGGGCTGTAGAGAAGACAAGAGGCTATTAGGTTTCCAGTTAGTGAGACTACGGATTCCCAGCTCTGATAAGGAGAGGAAGGTGACACAGCATCTGAGGGTCGATTTTGCCTGGTTCCATGTTCCTTTCAGCTCTATAAATTTACGACAATTAAGAATATAAACATAAATAAAATAAGAACTTTATATTAGATATAAATTTATGGCATTTACTGAATTCTCACAAGTATTCCCACAGGGAGGTGGGCCCTTTATAGATGATAGCTCATTAAATCCCTTCAACAACCTTGTAGTCCTAAGATTCCTGTGTTACAGAGGAGAAAACGGAGGTTCAAAAAAGTAACCAGCTCAAGGCCACACTGCTGGTAAGGGGCCGAGCAAGCATGCAAACCCACATCTGTCCGACTTCAATGCCTGTGCCCTTTCCACCACACTCTGCTGCCTTCCTCTCCCAGGTTTCTGTTACATTACAGACAACCGATTTCTCAGAGTCGTGACCTCTGGGTAAGCAAGCTGGTACTGCAATAATAACAAAAGATGTGAGTCAGAGACCTTGAAACTCATTTTGTGTTTCCAAGCCTCTTCCCTTCCCTGCGGTGCTGGAACGTACCATTTCTTGTGGTTACCCATTGTTTATCTTAATTTGGTTTATTTCGTCTTATCCACTGACAACGTACTTTTGTCTCCAAGATGACAAAGTCACTAGACCAAAGCTAAAACATTTAGTTCCACAGGTTACCTGGCATGCCCTCAGCCACAGACAAGACTCTAGCTGGCAGATCTATCCAGGTCTCAATTTAACCTTGCTCCTTTCCCTTCTTTAACTTTCACCCCATGCCTGTCACCGATAATTGATTTTCAAATGTGTACAGATACACTCCAGAAGGAAAAGGTCCTTATGTGTTTAAGGCCACTGGATTACAGATGAACCAGCTACAAAGAGATTTTTAAGTATTTCATATGTCACTTGTGGCAAAATTACCTGTAACTCACTAAGTTTTTAAGAGTATAATAAAACCCACTGTAACTAATATTTTTCCTACTTTTTACTTTGGAAACAGTAACAGGTTTGGACTGATAGAAGAGATAGAGGAAAAAAGAGAAAAACCAAATTTCTTTGACCTACTTCTTTTTCCATTTGTAACAAGTCTTCTATAAACTTAGCATCTTACAAATAACAGAGAAAACCGTAGACAATATACATAATTCATGCTATCTGCTTTGGTAAGTACTTACCTTGACCGGAATTATATATTGCTTTTACAGACTTCTTCACTTTCTGTAAGGCTGTTCTATCTTGGTCCAGAGCCTAAAAAAGAAAAACGGGAAGAAAAAGATGTTGGAAAACTCAGTAAACTAAAAAAGAAAAAAGAAAAGAAAAACTCATTTGTAACTGCATTTGTTTCTCTGAGTCCCGCAGCAATAGCAAACTGACATATTTATTAACAATGAACCATCTCAGAGACTGGAAGTCCCAGGATTTGAGTAGTCATATTTTTGGGATAAATGCAGAGTTGTTCCACAAAGCTTGGTGTTGGGTGAACTGGATAACTTGGTAGTGGGTGGGTGATCATGCTCAGCTGTGGCCAGGAAAGGAAATACAAGACACCTAAGCAATGGCAAGACTTGTTTCCTTCGCTTGGAGAGTTCACCACCTGGGAAGGGCGAAAGGCAAGCCAAAGACACGAGTGACACATATACCCAGGGAACAAAACACATCTTATCACCCGATCGCAATTTCAGCCAGAACAAAAACATTTCAGAGGTGAAAGTAAGAGTGATCTGAAGAGCTTTTCATAATGCTTTTAAATTTGAGGATTCTTTTTAGGGTAAAAAAAAATTTATGACATAATGCCAGTTGTATTTTAAAATTCTGTTTACTAAAAAAGCACAGCATGGAAAATGCTACCATGATGCTCATAAATGATTTCTTAGATGATGAATTGATACATCCACATTAATCTACTTGTGCTACAAGTGGGGGGCTTGCAGAAGACTGTTGATTCTTTCTTTCTTTTTTTTTTTAATTTTATTTATTTATTTTTTCCCCCAAAGCCCCAGTAGATAGCTGTATGTCATAGTTGCACATCCTTCTAGTTGCTGTAGGTGGGACGCGGCCTCAGCGTGGCCGGAGAAGCGGTACGTCGTTGCGCGCCCAGGATCCGAACCCCGGGCCGCCAGCAGCGGAGTGCACGCACTTAACTGCTAAGCCACCAGGCTGGCCCAGGACTGTTGATTCTTATCCAGGCACTGGATACACAATTGTGTTCTGTTTGTGAAAATTCATCAAACTGTGCACTGAGGATATGTACTCTTTTCTATATGTGTATTATACTTCAAAACCAAGTTTAAAAAGGGGGTGCATTCAATATAGATACACACATGGCAACACTGACTTAACCTCTTAAAATAAGTTCAAGTCCCTCTCTGCTTCCCCAAGGGTCAATGATCCACAGGCTGGGACAGCCTGGATGGTGTGTCACGGTCTGGAGGGCATGAGCAATAGCAACAGCAATAATAATAAACCTATATATATAAAATGTAAAAACATTAAATGTGCACTCACATCCATTACATCAGCTAACCCTCAAAACTTCAGATGAGAAAACGGAAGCCCACAGAGGTTAAGTACTTCCCGCCTTGAAGGTCACCCAGGGAGCTGAAAGGGGTAAATGCAACGGCAGCAGGCATCTATCATTCCCCTTCTCCTGCAAAATGGTCTTTCCTGCCACTTTAAACATGTAGTTCAACTGGGCACTGCCCTTCCCTTCGGCTCCTGTACTCTGGACACCAGTGCCTGGCCAGGTGGGCATCACCCATGCTGGGCTCAGAGTCCTTCCCAGGATTTCTGGGCCCTTCCCAGGATTTCTGGGCTTCAGAACAGAGATCACAATGTGCAGTCTCTCTCTGATGATGTGAGCCTGGGGACCGCTAGTGGTTCTGTTTTTAGCTGTGTGGAAGAATCTAGCCAGACAGAATGATGTTAACAGAGACAAAGCACCAGAGACAGGAGGTGAAGAGGGTCCTGTGGCATTTGGGTTCTTGCTTCCAGGATCCCAAAGGCATATGTCACTGCTAACATTCTACAGACTGAGTACATGAGATAATAAACTCCTTTTGTCCCAAGCTAGTTGAAGTTGAGATTTCATCACTTGCAACCGCCAAGTCCCAAAGAACAAAAGGGCTAAAGTTTACTGAGCACTTACTCCACCAGGCATAAGCTTGGTATAGAAGACATACCGAGTAGATAACATATATATGATTTCAATATCTTATCCCTCTGCATTGTATCTTTACAAATGCCGTGAAGTAGCATCTACGTTTTTCAGATAAGGAAATGTGGTAGGCTTTCAATAAATACTTGTAAGAAGAGAGGGAGGGAGGAAAAGATTAACTTGCTCAAAGTCACAGAGCCAGAAAGTGCAAGTCACATATCACACTAATGTCTACCAAATCCCAAATCTAACAGGATGCTGGGATAAAACCCAGAGTTTTCAAACTGCAAGTAAAACGCTATTTCCACCATGCCTATCACTTACATTCCACCTCCACAATTTTGTCACAGCCATGTCCCATCTGCACTTCTATTTAATTAATATTGTTCTTTCAATCCATTCACATCTTTTTTCACTGAAACACATTGTAAAGAGCTACCATAAATGAAAAACCAGGATAACTTACCATTAATAGAAGAGACCCAAAAAATTACTATGTATCTCTAACTATCTAAAATGCTCATCTGTTATCACCTCACGCCCATCAGAATGGCTATAATTAACAAGACAGGAAACAACATGTGTTGGAGAGGATGTGGAGAGAAGGGAACTCTCATACACTGCTGGTGGGAGTGCAAACTGGTGCAGACACTATGGAAAACAGTATGGAAATTTCTCAAAAAATCAAGGATAGAACTACCATATGATCCAGCTATTCCACTGCTGGGTATTGATCCAAAGAACTTGAAAACAGCAATGCGTAAAGATACATGTACCCCTGTGTTCACTGCAGCGTTATTCACAATAGCCAAGATTTGGAAGCAACCTAAGTGCCCATCAAGGGACGAATGCATAAAGAAGATGTGGTATATATACACAATGGAATACTACTCAGCCATAAGAAACGATGAAATCCAGCCATTTGTGACAACATGGATGGATATTGAGGGTATAATGCAAAGTGAAATCAGTCAGAGGGAGAAGGTCAAATACCGTATGATTTCCTTCATTAAGTAGTAGATAATAACAACAATAAACAAACACACAGAGTCAGAGATTTGATTGGTGGTTACCAGAGGGGAAGGGGGGAGGGAGGAGGGCGAAAGGGATAATTCGGCACATGTGTGTGGTGATGGGTTGTAATTAGTATTTGGGTGGTGAACATGATGTAATCTATGCAGAAATAGAAGTATAATGATGTACACCTGAAATTTATAAAATGTTATAAACCAATGTTACTGCAATAAACAAAAAATTAAAAAAAAAAATCCCAACCCACGGAAAAATAAATAAAATAAAATAAAATGCTCATCTGTGTAGTACCTCAAATCATCTCATCTAACACTAGTGATTCTGATACTACGCTTAAGGAAACAGTATTGTCTTTTTTTGTGTGTGAGGAAGATCAGCCCTGTGCTAACATCTGCCAATCCTCCTCTTTTTGCTGAGGAAGACTGGCCCTGAGCTAACATCCGGGCCCATCGTCCTCCACTTTATATGGGACGCCGCCACAGCATGGCCTGACAAGCGGTGCATCTGTGCACGCCTGGGATCCGAACCCCGGCCGCCAGCAGAGGAGCGCACGCACTTCACCGCTACGCTATAGGGCCGGACCCAAGGAAACAGTATTTTAAGAGATGGTTTCAGGGAAGAGACAAAGTTTGAGTTATTTCAAAGATTTGAGATTTGTACTTTAAAGAAAAGAGGGACAGTAACTACCATTAATAAAAGCTTAAGTATGAACCATAAAGGGTGCTGAGGTTTACATATGTTATCTCACTTAATTCTCACAAAAACCCTATGAAATAAGTACTATTATTAAATTCATTTTACAGATAAGGAAACATAGGCTCAGAAGCATAACTTGCCCAGGGTGGCAGAGCAGCAATTTGAACCCAGGTCTTGACAGCAGCACTTGATCTCCCAACCACTACCCAGTTCTGCATCCCAATGACATCTGTGACGAACTGAAACTAAAAATAGCTTCATCTTAAGGGGGGACCATCTACCAGTTTTCAGAGACAAATTTGTGCTAAGAAATTACAAGACATTTAGGGTGCTGGGAGTGTGTGAGGGAAAGAAAGCAGTGCAAATAAGTATCCATTTCAGAGACTGAATCTCACAGGTTTATCCTTTGATGAACTGCTTTTGCGGGAAGGACATTTAAAAACTAATCCTAATACTATCCACTATTTATTTTTATAGACATATTATTGCCGTCTTTTTTTTTTCCGATGAAACACCCTGGGCCTTAGGGAAGTAAAACAGCTTGCCAAATGTCAGACCTCAAGTAAGAGAAGCAGCAGGCTATGCTTTCTCAACCACACACCTATACCCACTGTAGAAGGCACCCCTGTGCCTCCCCTGCATCGTACCATTTCTCAATTATTCTTGAGAAAGGAAAAAAAGATCTGCTTCTGGAAGAAGATAACCTATCTGTTCAGTTTGGGGAACGATGGCCACATAAGGATGGGTCTATTCAAAGAGAAATTAATGAGTGGGCTTTAATGACCGTGCACATTTAGACTGAATGACTCCAAATGAGCAAAGGGGTGTGGGAGATTTCGGCCGTAACATTTTATGAGACCAGCTATCTCCTTTTTATTTTTTTTCCTTAGGAAAAGTCTCAGAATTTATGCTGAACATTTACCAACTCATCTATAAACTAATAGGGTATAAAGTTCACGTGCTTACTTTTAAAGGTTATTAATAACACCCGCACTTGACAGTGACAGTCACAGTCAAGTCTGGGTGACAATTCTCTTTTTATACTCTAGTATGTGGCCACTGGCAAAAAGAAGCCAAGTAAAATGCACTTTAAGGGCGCCGTGTTTATGAGAGCTGGGGACACTGTCCTTCAATCAAACAAGGCTCCCTCCAGAAATAACACACGTCTAAATGTGCTACAATGTGCCATTCCCTCAACTGCCAGACAAGCAACACTTGCAATGACATCCTTTAAAACGTTGTATGCCTAAAATTAAATAAAGGCTAAGAGAAAAGGGCAGATAATATGGGCTATAAAATTATTCTCTCTCTCAACCCATTAAAAGTATGCTAAAATATGTGCCTCCATTTCTAAGTTTGCATCTGA